GTAATTTCGCTTGCTCCAACGGATACTCCCGTCGCTCCCATTTCGGTGCATAATTCAGCGAGTCGTCCACCCTCAGAAGCGCATTAAGCATCCGATTCTTCTCTTAAGTCACTCGAGACACGAAACGAACCCTGCGCTTCCAGCGGGTACAAGTTTATCAAAAGGGCGAACTAGTTTCAACCCACGTAGCGTGGATGCATTTCTCGGATTCATTTGCAGTTCAGCCTGCCGATAAAGGTGGTTAGGGTAACTCGGGGAAAAATGCTCCACCTTTTTAGGATAAAATGTTGCGTCGTTAATATTGGTTCCCGGAAGTGTATATGTTTGTATATTTATGTCTGTCAAAGGAAATTCATGTGAGAATAGTTGAATAGGTCTATATGTGAGGTACAGTGTACCATTAAAAATCAAATTGAAAGAAATCAGGACATTTTTCTCGCGGAGCCATCTTGCTTGAAATTAATTGACTTTCTGACAAACGTTAACACTAGATTTACGGATAATTACTGTAGTTTTCTTTCTATCGCTCTCAGAAAAATTGATACTCGTTCATTTAGAGTTTGCAAATTAAAGGTTTGAAAGTAGAAAATCATGATACACATTTGTATACGCGCATCAAATAAAATGGACTCAAATATTTAGCAAATAATGATTATAAAATTCAATATGTGTCAAATTGACTCGTCTCATAAATCTGGCGTTACTATAATTGCGTAAAACAATTGAATGAGAATCTTGATGCGGGAGATTGTGTTAAGGGAAATCGATGTTCCAGCAGTTTCAAACGGTTACGAACCTTTGGGTTCCTATTGCGAAATATCCAAGTATATTTTTGAAAATCCATCGTTACAGTAATTTCGCTTAACGTACATATGTGTGCAGCATTGTGTTGGGGTGGCTCGTGAATCATTGTTGCCGCGATCCTCTATTCCTGCTCCGCTGCGAACACAAGGCTGGATATATGGGTGTATCGTACACATTTCTTCCTTTTTCGCGTGTTTTTTCGGGCGTCGGCGCAATTCCTAACGCAATGCACGCGAACGTAATCAAACAGAACCGTTGCCTAACACGGGGTCCTTTTATACGGCGGCGGAGCGCCTAGCGCCGCTAATGGTGCGATTCCAGCAAAATGAAACAACAAAACGAGGGCCGGTACATTCGGCATAAACAACGTCGTAAAAGCCTTCACGGATGCGTCGGAATTTTTCCCAGCTTCTTCCCGAGAATCCCCGTGGAACGGGACTGATTCGTTGCGACCGGGTGTGTTCAACGACTCTGGCGCTCTTTGCAACCGGACCAATCAGCTATCCACGAGTCGGCGATACGTGAACTTTAGCTTATAAATTTTCAATTCGGTAGTAATATAACAGCAGATGGCTCAAGTGGCAAAGATCTGAGAATTGAAGGCTCTCAATGTTCAGATCAAAGTTTGAAAACTTCAAAGCTGAATCTTGAAGCTTCGTAGAATTCAGCTGTATAGAGCTCTAAGCTTTCAAGGCTCTAGTCTTATAAACCTCTAAGCCTTCAAGATGTTAACCTTCCAGACTTCGAAGCCTTTAAGACTCTAACCTTATAGACCTCTAAGTTTTGAAGACCCTAGCTTTAAGGAACTCTTAACCTCAAAGACACTATAGACCTTTAAGACCTTATAGACCTTTAAGTAAGGAAGCCTCTAGATTTATAGAACTCTAAGCCGGTTATATTCGGCTGACCGATGGGAAGGTCGGCATACCCTTGGTCGAAAATGAGTCTAGACTATAGAATCCAGGTTTCCAAAGTGGAAAACTTGGATTCTGTCGGCCAGAATTGACGGGAAGGCAAGGGGTAGCCATCTGACTTAGCAGTGATGGGACTCCAGGTCCAGGTCGAGGTCTCATCGGGACGAAGGCTACATCCTACGATTGAGCCTTGAAACTTCAAAGACTCGATCTTTATAGAACCCGAAATTTTCAAGACTCTAGTCTCATAGACCTCTAAGCCTTCAAGAGTTAAATTTTTTAGAACTCTAAGCTTTCAAGACTCAGGCTTCAAGGTTAAGCTTTGAAGCTTCTAGGATTTGAGTATTTTGCAACACCGCTGTAAACGTATGCATTATAAACAACTGATATTTGATGAAACTAGGTGCAGACTGAAAGCAGATCGAGAGTTGATCGATAATGTATGTCAGAGGCAAAACAGACGAAGACCTTTACCTTTATATATTGCACACTCATTAATAACTAGATGGTATACCATTAATGACGCGTCGGTGACTAGAATGGATCACGATAAACTGAACTGTATTAAGTATACAAGAATGGCGGACGTACAAGTATTCTGCAAGTGGGATTAAACTTTCCTATGCAACCGGCAATTTCCATTCGTTAATGCGTAAGGAATATCCCAAGTTCGTTCCGAATAAAAACGAGCTCGGCCAAGGGAAAGTTGAACCGGGATTCCTGGTTGGCAATTCTCCATTTTTTCTTGAATCGGCGATTAATTAGTCCGCCGAAGGAAACAACGGATGGAAAACAAATTAAACGAGAGTCTCGTTTTGTATGCATGCCGGGGTAAGCGGCAAAGGATTTAGAACTTCAGAGTTTTAATATTTCTTCGCGAAATGAAGAACCCCGCTCGAAAAGTTGAACTAGGTAAGTGCATTCCTACTTTAGCGGTTACAAAAATTCGATTTTATTTAAATATTCGAATTTTTTTGTAATACCTGTTTTATTTTAATTCGAACGATTCTTCATTATCGCACAGACTAAAAATCTTTTCGATTTTTTGGTTTGAGAATGATTTTTTCGAGATACTTTCATATAGTTATTATAATTTTGATATGAATTGATACTTTGATTTAAAAAATATAAAGTGTCGCTGAAATATACATTAATAAATGTTTTTGCATTTAAATGCATTAATAAGTTTTAAAATTGATGCGTGTCAACATTTTTCTTTTCAAAAGTATGCTTAAATACGCTTTCTCTGTAATCACCACGGCAAGGTGGTTCATTACGCTGTATGCGCACAGTATAGAAACAATTAACGGTTAATTAATTATCGTGACACGTGCAGTATGAGTCATAATTGTTCAAAGGACAGAAATTTTACACTTTACGCCGCCGTTGAAAGGTAAGTGTAAATGTTCCGAGTTATTGTCAGCATAAATGACTCTTTATTGCCGCAATTAACACTTCTCTATTGTGAAATGGTTGTAATTTCGTGTGCCCTAAATCTCAGGGGTTGGGTCTTAATGTCATCAAACTTTTATGGGCCTAATTAAATACGGAGATAAAAATTATAGTTCCCACTTGGAAGCAGCACGCGTGAAAGAAATTGCAATGCGATGGCCAAGAAACTCCAGGGAAAGTGTTAATAAAGTTCCTTTGTAGGGTATCAAAAAACCTTTGGACAATATAAATGGAGCAGAAAGCGAGCGTACTGGAAAGTATTCATATTCAATTACTAACTTATAAATTAATAACTAATCGTCTACGTAAACTTCTATCTTTGGAATATAACATTTTAATTTCTGGACATTTAATGTGGTTCGAATAATCGTACGTGGTATTACGAATATATACTGAATTAATCCTTAAATTAATTATTATTTCCATATTATGAAAATCTTATAAGTGAGTGTTATAATTAAAGTCAGCTATAAGCTAAAATAAAGCGAAACTGATTAACAACGACAAAATTGTGATTTCAGTTTATATACCAGGCTGTTAATAATAAACAATTCCAACGTGAGTTAGATCTCTTAAGCTGAAGACTTCAAATATTCAACAAAATTGATCTTCCCAAATCCGTAGCTTTCCACGTAGCCACGATTTATTGTTGACTTGGTTCCGCTGATTACAGTATACACGTCCAACAATTTTCACCGAACACAAGAGCAAGAAAAATCACTCCCAAAATGTTACAAAAACGTTTACGTATACCTCGTCAGTCATCAAATCTATAGGTACAAATTCCAATAAACTAATTTCCAATAACAAAAATTCGAAAAAAGTCGTTGATCCTATCAAAGATCCTATGTTCCCAGAAAGCTAAAAAATTCGTAGTTTGTACTATGAGTTCAGATTAACTTTTCACAAGCAACAATTTCAGGAAAATAATCAAATAGATAAATCATAATAAAAATAACCAATTATTTACAACGAATAAAAAAACGATTTCGTTTTCTTTGAAATCAACGTTTAGCATCCTGGACAGGACGTTCTTAATTTCCGCAACATCGAACGGGTTAACGCGTTCGCTCAACTATAATATTTTCTTCAATCCAATAAATCTTCTAACCAAAATATTCGAAAAATAAAACTGAAACGAGTCATTGAGTTCCTACATATAATGTCGTAGTTTATAATGTCTAATAACAATATCTATAGGATTAATTTCATTTTCATTAAATACAGTATTACGGCCGTCACAAGTACGTGACGCTGGTAGCGAGCATGTTAAACTCTCCGCACCCACACCCATCCTCGAATTAAAAAAAGATATACATAAAATCCTCGTTCCAATCATCCCACAATCGCGAGCAGTTACTTCGTCGATCGTCTGCGTTCACGGATCGCCAGGACCGTCGACATTCAATTAAACAATTCCGCTCCCCGGGGTATTTATTCCCGATAAATCCGTTACTAGGCCTCTGATGCAATTAACCGGCTTTTAAGACTTCATGCCGGGGCCGCATGTGAGACGGCAGGGCGAAGGAAGAGACGGAAAGGAAAATCGTTAAAGTAATTACTGCGTAATGTAATTAGCATGAAAGTAACCAGCACCGGAACTCTCCCACCCTCTTTCATCCAACCCCGAACAGCCCCCGCCCTCTTTTCCACTCTTTCGCGCGATGAGGCACTCGTGCCCGCGTGCCACGTCGCAGGGACAATTGTAAACAGATATTTCCTGATATTTTCTTTTGTCGTGGAGCGGCGTCGGGTCCTGCGCAGGCGCCGCTCGGTTGGCGGCAAAGCTTTGGGACGCTCGACGTTCCGGCAGCCAGTTGACGTAGCCGCGTCGTCCACGTAGCAATATGCTCCCAGTTCTCGCGGTCTCGGTGATCTGCGTCGTGACATGGACAGCCGCGTTGAACGATCCGTCATCAGGTAAACTCGAGCAATCATCAAATTCCGCTGGTTCCTTGGATCTTATCGCGCAGAACGGTACAGTCAGATTTCACCATTCTCCCTGCCACCGATTAACGTTAACCGTAACTACCGGATAGTGCCTGAGGTTAATCACCTAAAGGCTACCCAAACGTCTAAGCATCTAAACGTCTGAAGATCTAAACGTTCGTTCCACTGGGTTCCTTCCAACGTTCCGCGGATCGGTCGTATTGCTTCGGCAAGATGGGGGTCGGAAGACGCGTTGGAACGCGGTGCTCCCGTGTAACCGCGGCGAACTAGGGTTTATTGTCCGGTGTAATCGCAAAGTTGGAAGCGGCCGGCTAGCTTTACGAGAGAGCCGCGCAGGGACCAGATGTGTCAAGTCGTTTCGGTGCTTTGTCGTGCCGGGAGTCGACTCGGCCAGAATCTCAATATGACGATCGTAAACTGACCGCTGAGTACGGCTGTAAAGTCCGCCCTAAGTAGAGGAATAAAGGCGGGAAGATAAGGCGGTTGGCTACCACCGCGGAAATTCATAGAAGATTGCGTTAATTGCGTGATGCTGCGACGTTTCGTTAGACGACGGATAATAGCCGCGCTGCTGCTGCTGCCTTCGTTCACGTTGCAACGCCGGTTTTATGTGGTTTGATCAGTGTGCTTGATGGTGCTTGATGGGGCGGGCTATCAGTTCTTGGGTACACTTTAAACTGTCTTGCTTTACTTATACCTCCACAAGGTAGACTTTGTTGGGATTTTTCAGAGGGTTCGCAATATTTACGCGTCGACCATGGAAAGTATGAATTTTTATTCATTTGATCGTGTTGATAGGCTTGAGTCTTTATTGGATTCAGTCCTCTTTCTAACTGTTAAAGACACTTAGGGAGCTAGGCTGGAGGTTATGCAATTAAAGTTAGAGTAGAGACGAGCGAAGCGTGTTGCTGTCATCGAAACCTTTACGATCACCGTGTTTGCTCATCATTTAAATAAAATAGTTTGATTAACAATTTAGTCGTCAAAAAAGACACTTCAGTCTTTAGTTTTCGCATAATTTCAGCCGTGTTACCATGCTCCTTTCGGTTCTACGTTGTTCGACCAGTGATAATGTTCGTTGAAACCCAGGTTATCAGTTTCAGCAGATTTTGACGAATTTCGCAATGTTGTCTCCGTAAAATGATTGATACTGCAATCTTCGACGTGTCATGAATTTCCGCGTTCCCGAGTGGTTGGAAGTTCACCGGCAACACGCTTGTTACCTTCGTTACGCGATTTGTTGTACGGGGATAGCTTTATCGTTGAATCCTCGGTAATGTTCAGTTTCACACCAATGAACTCGTTCACACTAGGCATGCTGCCAACTCGTTCCTTCCTGTTTACTAATCCTCTAACTTCCGCGATTTTATTGCTCCATTATACGTCGACGTAACGGTTCACGAGTTGCTGTTTATTAATTTCATCTTGTCGCGCGTTCGATTTCCTTTTGCTTTTCGCGCGGTGTAATATTCCCTTCTCTACTTCTCCGCGGGATAAGTCTGCCTATTCTGCGCCGGGTCTGGTGGTCTAGTTTTTCCCTCCTTCTTTTTAACGGGCACAGGTATCCCTTGATAATATACCGCTCCTTGTTCTCGGGGTCTGTATCTGATTTCACTGAGATTTCCTCCTTGTGTTGATACGTATCCCATACTATCTTTTTCTGGTCGACTTTTTTGCTGGACATCTAATATTCCGCTGTTCTTCGTTCCTTTCGACTTACCTCAGCGGTCCCTGTGAAATTTCCTCCTTTTTCTCGTTTCTTTTTCACTCTTTCCATATTTCTTTTTGCGAATTCTTTCTAACACTGTTCCGTTTGTTGCAATAATATACGAGTCGTTTCCAACTTCAAACAAATTCTCCTGCTCATTCCTTTAGTCTGAATTCTTCTATCAACGTTGCAGCGTTCGCTTCATTTTCTCTTCTCGATGACAGAGCTGGCGACTTAATACTTCTCGTGTTTATTTAATTTTGAACGGGACGTTCAACCCTCCTTTCTCCCAGTCGTTCATGCCGTTTCGTTCTTAAACTTCATTAACGCGTTATCTAGCGAGCACTCGTAATGAATCCTTGAGAAACTGAGTCTAGATTCGCCGCAATAATTACTCTTTCAATCTATCTACATTTTACAATTTTTTAATCGAATAAATTCACTCTACACATCATCGTAAATAAGATGTCGTGAAATTTGAAACCTTCATATCATATTCGTCTCAATTCTTTACTACTTCACTATACTTCGCTAACAAGCATTCACAAAGATCTTCCAGAAAACAGCACATCGAAATTCGTCGCAATAATTATTCTTTCAATTTCTTTACACCCTATAAATTCTTATACCACACATAAAGTTGCAAAACCGTCAACCCTTAACGTTTCGTTTCAACCCTCCGCTACCAAGCCACCACAAAAATGCTCCGAAACTCAAAAGATCAAAATTCATCGCAATAATTACTCTTTCAAGTTTCTCACACGCAAGAAACTCTGACATCATGCACAAACTTGCAAACCCAGAAACCGTTAAAGCCTCGTTCAAAACGCCGCGTAGTCCGTTACGCTTACCCCGCTATCGCGGAGCGAATTGTAACGACATAATTCCCCCGTAACCGAAACAACTCCCTTGAAACGCGAACGGAAGCGGCCCCGCTATTTTCTCCGACTCGAAAATAAAACCGCGCTCTGCGATTTTTCGTTGCAGAGCAAACCGGGGAAAGAAATGCTCGTCAGTTGTACGCGTGATAGAGCCCGCCGCGAGTGGTGATCGAAATCTTATCGGTCCACTCGATCTCTTTAATCGCCACCCCCGTTTTACTGCTTCGTATATAGTTGCATAAAATCCGCGTTAGCCCGGACTCGCGCACGACGAGCGACGTCGGCGTCGCGGGATTGTGTTGTAAATTTAGTTCCCCGCCATCGATCGAGGCCGATCCCCGGCCGTTCGTGGGACTATCCCCGCGTTCGCTGTTTTCGGTGATCGACTTTCCGGTTAGACGGTAATAACAAAGTGGTCGGGACAATTCGGCCGAGCTGATAATTACAGAATTCAATCGATCATATGTATTTCTAGGCAATCCCGGAATGATCGATTACACCGCGAACGATGGAACGCGATCGTTTTAACGTGGTTCACTGCCACGATTGTTATCACCACCGCCGAATCATCCGCGAAGAATCTATTCGAACCCCTTACCATTCGTGTCGCGACCGGACTCTCGAGAATCGCTTTATTATTGAAAATTCTCTGTAAAGGAAGAATTACGGTGTTTATCATAGATGTTATTTTATTTGTTGTTTTTGACAAACGTTATTTGGTGGGTGCTTCTATTGATCTACCATCAAACAAGTGGAAAACATCTTTATGATTTTTCGAGAATCTTAATGATTATACTGCACTGTAGAATTAAAATTGGATACTAGGTGTATAAGATAAATATTAGATATTTGTTTTTCACCTTTGCACTCTCGGGTTGACGCGGTCCTGGCGGTTTTAATAGATTCGCTGAATTCAAATTGCTAAATTCTTTCGATTCGAGATTAGTTACACGAGATTTCAAATCTTTGCCACGTGTTCGACGTTACGAGGCAAGGGGTAACTTTGAAATCGCCGTATTAAAGATTTTGTAACCATTAAATCGCAGTGCGATGTAGAAGCGTCTGTTTCTGCGTGTAGAAATAAAACCGAAGTGTGCAGTAAAATTTTTGCATGCGACCTTTCGTGTTCGGCGAACAGAGCACGCGTGTTCGTTTCACGTGCGGTGTAGGCTTGAACGTCGCGTACTTCGTCTATCGTTGATTATTTCTGCTGGTGTTAATGTTTACGAATGTCTGTCCGTTTTGCGGAGTAATTTACAACGTCCTTTGGCAATCATAATATACCAGGATACACCAGAACAATTACGGATAAATAATTGATCATCATTCGGTTATTTGTTCTTGAAGTTACTCATTGTTCACATGGCGAAACTTTGTTGGCTGTTTACTATTCACCATTTCCTATTTACGGTAGCAAATTTGGTTATTTGAACAACTATTAATCCACTTGTTCTCTAAATTTAATCTATTAAATCAAATAAATGATCATATTACTTCATTATTATCGAAATAAATAATGACGGATAGACTCGGTTTATTTATTATTTGCGAGTGAAGTTATATATTAATTGTTCGTTATTCGAACGTAACAGTCAGCTTGAATTTATTCGTCACTCTTTATTCGTTATTTTGAATAAGGAGTTTTGCCCAACACCGCCAAGATCGATGAGGAACCAATTACAATGGCGTCATTAATCTTTATCGCGAGTAGAAGTGACAAGCAATGGTCAGACGCTGCATTAGCAGCTCGCGTCGGATAGCGCACGCGTCTGATAAATTTTCATATTCGATCTCGTCGAACGCGAAATCCCGCGGAAGAGAATACCATTTCGCATTTTCAATTTATTCTCCCTTTTAACATTATTTGCTGCTAGGTCGTTCGTTTTTATGTAAACGTCGCGTCTTACGCCGCGGAAGAAATTTTCCCGAATATAAACGAAGTTGGACACGGATCTTCGCTTCTTACGGCAGGAAAGTTTGATAACAGAGTTGACGGGGAAGGGACGTGGGCAAATTCAACTATTTCTGGAAATATCAGAATGCTTTTTAGATGAGCGTATAAAGAATTTTCGGGTGTAATTCAATTACGCGTGGAAAGTGCATATCGAGAATGGAAACAAAGTTCGTTATTTTATAATTGGCTGCGACCAAATTGAGCCGCCAGAGTTGTTTCGTTGTTGATGAATTTCTCGTTTAATAATTCAATTTCAAGGCACGGTCTCGAGTATCTTATCAGTCTTCGTTTTCTCTATTAGCGGTGTCGCGTTACTAATGTAGTTTCTTCGCACGCAACGTGTTATTAATGTATTTATATAGTAATGAATTGTCTTCGACTATTAATCTACAGTGTGCCGTGAAATCGAAATGAACTACTGTATACTGTTGTATATTAAACTGAATACTATTAAAACGAACACTCAACGCAAAATACAAAATTC